ACATAGTTTAGACATCGGTTGTTGGAACATTGATGCAGCGCAGACCTGCGGCCCAGGCACAGGAACCTGCTGTTCGAACAATGGGCCGGAGATCTGGGCCCAAGCCTACTGCCACTTGACGTCCACACGCTTCACTCTAACACCCCGTTATATGCTTGGGAGAATCAGATAGATCAGCTGCGCGGCGCCGGGGGACGAAGGGCACCGTGAACCCAGAAGTCCGAGTAGTGCTTCAAAGCCCTTGCAGTGCTGGAAGGCGACAGAGGGCGCTACTACTACAATCATGATGATTGGCTTCGGCCACTTGTCTGACAAAGCAAGGAGGTGCGCCCTTCTCATCTTCTGCAGGAAGAAGCAGACCCGCACTCCAAGCCCTCAGCGACCTTGTCTTGGCATAGCCACCATCGTTGACGCCACTGGGGGACTAAACCCCCACTCCGTAAAAGCAATCGAAAGAAGCATCAGACCTGCGATGCCGATGTTTGTTGAGTGAAAAACCAACCCAAAGCGAAAGCCATGTAGACCGAAGTCTTTTCTTTTCGAAATTTACTTTTAGGTTGTGACTGAAAGTCAGTCTTTATTCTGTGATGCTCAAAGTTTTTTTCGAGTTTCCTGGGACTGGCATCAATGCATGAGATTTCACAGGCAGCTTGAATTGTTGGTAGCTGTTGAGGTTTTTGGCGAGTTTTCCTATCTGTGAGCTGCTTATGCTTTTTTCGGCTTCCACGATGCAATTTAAACGCTACCTGGATAGCCTGGTCACCGCAAATGTGTGTCAACTATTGAAAGTGATGGATTTGCTGCTTGAACACAGCCACCACACAGTTGCTGATTTTTCCCATACCTTGTCTACGCTTTATTACGCCACTTTACGCTTTTTTTGCCACTTTGCGTTGTATTTACGCCGCTTTCTGCCCAAACGTGCTGTGCCCTCTTGATCTTTCGGCAGTGACAAGAATCCTGGCACTTTTGCACAGTGATCAAAATCCTGCCACACAATAGTTGCTGCAATAAACAGCAACTACGGCGTTCCAGGATAATCCCTCTAGACTCTTGCTTCCGTGGTGAGCTACTTTGTATCTGAAGTGTCCTATCACCTGATGCCGGTGCTCAGATGGCTTTGCTCAAAAAACGGATGTCATGAGGGAATATTGCTTAACATTTCCTTTGTGCTGGCGGTCGAAGTTTTGGCGGGAGAATCATGCAGCTCTTGAAGCTCTTGAAGCTCTTGAGGTACAAGAAAGGTGAAACCACAAAGGCAGGGCCTTGGGGCTTGACAAGTCTAGACGGTATTTTATGGGATAAGGGAGGGCATAAGAAGGAGAGTTTCAAGTTCAATGTCAGATGTAGTGTGCTGGAAGGTGCAAAGTTTTGGCTGCATGGTCCCTTCTGCGAAGTTCACATTGCAACCGGATGCATCCGCGTATGACCGTATGTGCGTGTACACCGCTTGGCATCAGCAGTCGTGATGACCCGAAGGGTCCGGGGTGGCGATGTGGGGAGGGGTAGGCTATTTGGAAGTAGCGCTGGCATTACAGAGAGATAGCGAGAAGAACGCAAGCACGCGCGCGCGCACACACACACACACACATTTTCACTGACATGCATATCGGAATCGTTTTATGTACAGATGCATGCATACATTGGTTCTGGAGACTCCCGTCCCCCCACCCAGATGCGTCGGTTAAATTCGGGTAGACCTGTGAGGCGCCCAGGTCGCAGTGGGAGCTTCCTGATGGAGTCCAGCTGCTGTCTGACGTTGACCATTTGTGACCAGGATGCAGCCGGGTTTGGCAGGCTCCACGTGCTCTGGCTTCTCCTCGCTGTGAAATGCAAGGTGATTTTGCCTTGGGAAGCCTGGATGGAATCGCACACGTGCCTTGGAATGGTACCTTGCGGCCCGTGGTCCCGAGGCGCTAGAGAGCGAGAGAGAGAGAGAGAGAGACTGCGCGGTGGTTGGGGGTTATCTTCCCTGGCCTTCGTGCCCTGCAGAAGAAGAAAAAGAAAGAAGGAAAGAGGGCGAGAGAGAGAGAGAGAGATGGTCAGAGCGCACCATTTCAGCGCAGGTGCGGGTGAAGGCCGTGCCTCGCAAGAAAGCAAAGCAGGAGAGCGAGGCACGCCAGATGCAAAGCCTTCGTTGAGTTTGGAGGATTCGGTTCTGAAGATGACGCATGGGATTTATGGGATTTGGAAAACTGAATCGGTTGGATGTAGTAGGTCTTCGCGCCGTCCAGGGATTAGCAGAGCTTGCGCCATCAGCTAAGGCGAAAGCACACCGGAAAGTGAGCAACGCGCACGCGCCTGCCGTGCCCGCAGCTGTGGTGCCGGCGCTGTGGGCTGCGGGCACGCCCAAGAGTTCATGGACTGCTGACGTGGTCTGCCGAGCAGACATCGTCATATACACATATATATAGATAGATATATTTGTATATGCATATATATGAAGGACTTGCATTGCGCAGTCATATACATGTGTATTGATATGTATGTTTGTATGGCATCCCCCCGTTATCCACTTGTTTCTGCTTACTTCTGCTTCTTTCTGCTGTTTGCTGGTCCTGCATTCTCTTTTTTCATGTGATTCGATACCCAGGGTTGCGTTTCGTTCTCCGCACGTTCTCATGTTATCTATGTATTTTGAAATAATCTAATACATGGAGCGGCGCAAGCGGTACAAATCGGTACAAGCTCACGTTTCCAAGATCCAAGATTGCAGGGAGGTCTTCCGGACGAGTCTTGGAAGCACGAGCTCGGCTCATGCGCAATCTTGGATCTTGGAAACATGGGCCGGCGCAACACGTGTTTGTACCGGTTTGCAGCGGCCCATGCTTCGAAATCCGGGATGGTTGCGCGACGGTTATAGGAGCCGGTGGGCCAATTGAGCTTCGGTGCTCGAGTCGGACACGTTGTTGTCATCGGTCTGCCATAAACTAACTAGCCTGAGTATGATGGTTATTCAATGACTGTACCTCGCCCTAATTACCAAACAAAAACTAGCCGCGATCTTGACAGTTACTTTTGTTGGCGCGTCGGTTGTCCAAGTAGCTGTCCTTCATTCTCTTCCAAGAATCCCGGCCATTCAAGCAGGATGACTTTAAAACTGATAACTGGCCTCAAATTACGTTAGTCAAAATCTCCGAGTTTGAAGCAATATGACTCTGACATGGCTTGACAGTTCTTTTGATCTCCAAACATGTTAATCAAACTATCCGAATTGTTCCGGGCGTATTGGATTTAGCCTCTGTCAATAACAGCCTCTAGTGCAAATAGCATGTTCAAGTCCAGGTGAGTGCATGAAGAGTAACACTTTTCCATCACATGAAATCGTCCAGGTTGAAAAGCAAAGTAACTTCACCAACTTCGTTAACATAAGTGGAAGTCAATTTCTGATTACGCTAAGGATTCTATTTGCCAGCAGCTTAACATTCATTACGGAAATTGAAGTTCTTATCTTCCCATATTGTCAGCCTTTCACGAATGATGGTTGACATCCAACTATGTTATTCAGACCAACTCAGACAGTAACATTGTGAACTTGGGGCACCAAATTCCCACGAGTAAGAAGTATAGTCCGGAAGTCTCTAGTCGTGTTATGAATGAAAGCATTTCAAATTTCAAGCCATGACATTAATGAATACAATTGACCCCTACTTCCTTTTTTTAGGCACGCGGCCCGTCAAACATTCCAATTGGCTCGCAAGCGCAAAAAGTGTGGATGGTAGCAGATATATACATATATAGTATAGAGATATGTGTGTATATATATATATACCTGTATATATGTGTAGATATGTGTTTATGTACATATGTATATATCCAATGCCTTGTATGCTCCATGAAGCGACTCTGTGGCGTACCCTACGCGAGCCAGTTAATACATACTCAGTCTGCAACATGTTCACGCTGAAGTTGGCCGGGTCTTTTTGGGTTAGGCCTTTTCTTCAATTGAGCCTTCTGGTGCTCTGCAGGCACCCAAGGCGCTTGTGAAATCGATCTAAATCCCTAAGTCCTGAACTCTATGTTTTGTAGGTTGAGGCAGCTGTTCACTGTCGGATGGCAGTTTGATAGGGCCACAAGGCCCTATCGTAATGATTCTTTGCAGCATAGATCATGAGGTTCGAACCTGCCAAAGCAAGGCAAATGGTGTTCACTAGTTGCACTTCAAAGACAGGTGCGCAAGCACTGAGCACTGGTGGCCCTTTTGCTTGAAGATCCAAGCATCTGGTCGGTATCGGACCTCATGAGAGAATTCGGCTGAAGCACCACCCAACACCCAAAACCCCAAGCAACATGAAAAATGGAGTGCCTGGGAAATGCCTCTAAGCCATCGCGCCCTGTCGCTGTTTGGTGTCCAAGGGGGGGGCTAATGCCTTACTCTGACTGGTGCTCTACCAAAGCAGCGTCTCAAGGCGCTGAGCTCAAGCAATTGGATGTGGATGCCACCTTCAAGAGAACACAAACAGGTCATTGTGAAGTTTCCAAAGCACCATCGTGCTGACAGATCTGTAGAGGGTAGAGGAGCCTTTCAATCTCATGCCCGGCAAGCTAATGCGGCACCTTGTAAACAGGAGGTACAGTATCCAGTCAAGGAAGGTGGCATGCTTTGGGCAAGTTTCCGGAATTCCACGAGCCGTGTGCCGAAGGAAGGTCCAGGTTATCAAGAACCCGCCACCAACATCACCAACACATTGCTCTTGCTCGTGTCATAAGCAAAGAGCAATGGGCATGTTGCCGGCACTGCTCCTCAGCAACTCGCGAGTGACTGAAGAGAAAATGCCACCTGGGGGGAGCGAGTGTCGGTTCTTCTTGGGAAGTTAGGTTAGACAAGCTCGGAGGTTTCGGGCCGCCTGCTGGTGACCTGTGAGCATTGCAGCCCCAAACTTAAGCCTGGGGGTGCCGAAGCCAGGCTGTCCCAGAACTCCACCCACGCTGCGCGTCTTTTGGGACTTTAGCCTTTGAAGAGCCCCCTGAGAATCTCCTTATGGGGGAAGATTGGTGAGGTCAAGCACTTCCTGGGCAGTTTGGACTTCTGGCTGCGTGTCTTGGCTATGCGGCTTCTTCTGGGATGTCTTGTTTCGGGCTTCATCATCATGTCAGGGGCCGCAATTAAACGGTTCAAAAATGCAGAAGCTCCAATGCCGGGCTGCTGCTGGGGGTCGGAGTGCATGTAAGCTAGCCTGTCTGCAGCCCACTTGTCCTCATTTCTCCTCATTTCACGAACTGTGAGACTGCACCTGGAGATCACGCCAAATCATATGTCCCAAATTTTAGGGGGTTACTGGCACGTCCGGTGCCCTGTCACTGCTCTGAGGTCAGCCCCATGGCCAGAAACCCTCTGACAAGGCCGGGGGGGGTGGGGGGGATTTCGGGCTGTATGGTTCCCATGGTCGCTGAGCACCCAATTCATGACAGCAGGAGGCCAACTTTTCAACAAACGGGGTCTGGACAAGTCTGCATAGCTATTCCTTAACCTCAAGAGATCCCCAAAGCCAGACAGATCACAGGAAATGTTTGAACCGTTCTTTAGCCCAATGCCCTGTGGCCAGGAAGCCAAGATAGAGGCTGCTGTGGCCTCTTGCAAGGCTGGTGCGGTTTTTATGGCTTGAGGCTTTGATCATGCTCTTTGGGTACATGTAGAGTTTGCGAATCACGAGGTCATTTCCGCCCCAGAAGGCGCGACTGCTGTGCACTGCACCACACGTCAGGACACCATCCACGCAGCCCTCCTCGACAACTTCGCTACACCAAGAGTCATTGAGGCCTCTTGCTTTGAAGATTACTGCGCCTGCTGCTGTATCTTCATTGCTTCGCAGGAGGTCGCAGAGTATGGGTTGCGTTTCAGGAGGGTTCTGCGAAGCTTATGCGCTCATTGGACCCAGCAGGCCTAACCCTGCAAGTCCAACAGTCGCAGAAAACGAGGCGGTTCACAACCTTCATGGTAAACCGGGCGGTTGCGACGCAGGGACGATGTGGAGACGTAGTTTCCACGGCGCGAAATCTGCAAATTTTGATGGTGTTTGAAGCAGTTCCCAGGTGCTGGCTTCTAGAATATGCCAGAGTCACGCAGCAGTCACGCCAGAGTCACGGGCAAAATGGGGCGGTTCGAGCCCTTTCCTCTTTAAAATAACAGAAGAGTCACGCCAGGATCACGCCAGGGCCACGGCAAAGTCACGCTACTTTGCGCCCGGGCAAAAACAGTAAAACACGGCTAAACCCGGTCAAACAAGCTTCTAAACTCAGTTCCATTCTCCCCCAAACCAAGCACCCTCTGGCTCCGGCTGGTAAAACGAGGCGGTTGCGACAAGAATTGCAACCGCCCTAGTAAACAAGGCGGTTGACGCGCAGGGTAAGGGAGTTACCCCAAACCAACGGCAACCAGGCACTTTCCAAGCTGGTCGTGGAGTGCAAGGTCGCCTTCGAGGCTTTGAGTATGCTGCGCGAGCCAGACCCAGCGTGGCATGAACATCGAATTTGAGACTGAGACTTTGTTATGGGGGTGGGGGGGGTTCCAAAATCTCAAAGACTAAGTCGGGACTTGGAAAATGTTGTAGGGCAATGCCCCGTGAAAGGCTTCCAGCATGTTGCCTTAGCAGACATGTCTGTGAAACGACCAGATGGTTGCTCAGTTTATCTTTGACCCACTTCTTTGACCCTATTGCCCACTCACGGCAAGTTTGCACTGAAGGCCGGCTCAACCACCGCAACTGGTGGTGAGCCAGCATCGGTCCAAAGCTTGCGCCCTTGGGGCCCGTAGTTCAATACGCTCGTCTTAGAGCACAAATTCCTGCATACTACTGCGCTAGGTTGTCTGGGGGCCACATACCCTTTCCATTCGGGACTGCCATCCTCTCTTGTGGCTGCAGTCTCTGCCGGACCTTTCCCTCGAGCCCTTGGTGAAGGCAAGCTTTGTCCGTGAGAGGTGCAACCTTCGGCGCTTCACGGAATGATAGGACCGGCATTCACAGACATGGTGTTCAGGCCTCAGGGCACATGGGTCTCTTGACACGCGCTTAATGACGACAGTAATTGCTTGTCTATACTGCACCCTGTCGAACCTGTCATGTCAATGTGACGGTTCACATAGTATCAATACGGCAGGCGCACGCGCCTTTCCCCAGAGTTGGCTCAGCCGAGCGCCTCATGCAGCTCCTCATCGTCCCACAATCTAGCGCAGTCAATAAGCCGTATAGTTCCTCGGTCGCCTCCGCCCTTTGTTGCCACAGGCTGCGCAGCTGGTGGAGTCCACACTCTCCATGCTTGGCGTGGAAGGCTCCTGTGTGGAGGGACCAGGGAGGGTGCAACCCTTGGGCAATTGGAAGTGGGTGACGCATGTCCCCGCTCACTTGGAGCGGACACTCTATGTAAACACGATGTAGCCAGTAGTCTACTGATGTCCATACATCTCTGATCCTCTAGGCCCTTTGGACCCACAATTTCTTGAGACCTGCATGGGTCAAAGTCGTGAGGCCTCCGTATCGTGCGGGAGCCCAAGGACGGCACTCGTCACCGTTTGAGTGATGTCTGACACTGGCTTGTTCGGGATTGCGCTGGGTTCAGGGAATCAGGGCTGAGGCTTAATCAGAAGGGCATTGTCATTGATTTGACTCGAAGCTTGCCCCCAAACATGCCGAACTGTCGACAGCCAACAGTTCCAGTGCAGGAAGCTTGGACGAAGAGTGTTGATGCCTTCGCAGACCTCCGTCAGTCTGTGCGCGACTTCGCGAAGGCTGTGTGCGCAGACAGTGATAGAGCATGAAACGGGCCACAGACCGTGATGGACATATCGTGTGTGAATCCAGTGTCGTCGCTGCACGTGCTTCTGACTACGGTACGTGAGCAGTTTTCAAATCTCCGGCACTGGTTGGCGGCGCAGGAGAAGGACGCAGCAAAGCGCAAAAAGCAAATGTCCCAGAGTGCAGTGCCAGGTCCAGGTGAAGCCACAGCCCTGCATGCAAGTGTTGTGCGGCCCGATGTAACAAATAATCATGCGCTTCAGAAGTGTGGCAGTCATGCAGTCCGCACTGCAGCCAAGGCTCATTGAGGAAGCTGCGGCGAAGGTGTCAACCACAGTCATTGTGAGTTAGGCAGCGGCTTCGTAGCCAAGAGAGTCTATAGTACATAGAGAGTCTACAGAGTATAGAGTCGTAACAGCCACTCAGAGATGGCCTTAGCACACATCTTGGCAGATCTGGCGCACAATGCTGCCTGTTTCAGTTTGCAGGCGTCCCGGAAGCCAAGGGACCTCTCCCGTTGTTTGGCGTTTGTCTCCTCGAAGTCTTTCCACATGGGCTCACCAAGAGCTGCCTCGCCGCCTGTCCTGTCAAACTCAGTCCGGCCCACATGCCGTGCAAGCCTCCTCAAGAAAGGAAGATCATTCCCAATATCAACCGACAGAGCTTCAAGCTCCACCCCACCTCCCCCGCCGCCTCTCGACCAGAAGGGACGTGAAGAATCCTCCCGAGGCGGCGCCCAGCGTTGCCACGGCCCGGAGCGCTGGGCTCAAGGCCCGGAAGCACACAGCGTTGAGTCCGTTGAGGGTTTAGCTTTGGGTTTTGCATCTGTTTGTTTTCGGGCTTAGGAAGACCATCGTGAGTCGCCTGAATCGACACGACTATGACTATGAGCCTTCTCTCAAGACGTAAAGGATGCAGTGTGAAGCTGTGGTTGGGACCCTGCGGGGGTTCATTGGACATTTGCATGGTCGTGGGTATGGGTTATGGCAGCGGCACCGTTGTAGAGGTGCCTGGGGCGTAGGCAAGACGCCTGTGATCCAGGTTCACCTTCTCGGGGACTTGTGCTTTCAATGGCACGTCCCGCCACATCCCCTCCCTGAACGCCCAGGAGCTGGCAGACGCGCTGGACAGCTTCCAGAAAGATGTGACCAGCCGCCTGCTCAGAAGTCAGATGGAAATGCCAGCAGAGACTCAGCACGGCCACGAATCATTGCCGTCTCGTGCCAGCTGTGGGTCCGAAGCCACGAAAACCTGCACGCAAGCCCGAATTCGAGGCGCCAAAGGCCGCTGAGCCCGTTGTATCCACGGGAAAGCACCCCAAAGCCTCGGCAATTAACCTTGTATGCCGCCCTTGCATCATCCCAACACGGACCTTTGTTTCAACTTTCGGCAGAATACCACTAAGAGAGAACGCCGGCCTCGAAAGCCCTATACCTCACACTTAGGTGCACGAGAAGGAGCCTGCAAAACCCCTCAACCCCCTGGGCCCTAAAAGCATCCGGAAGCCCCAAAGCCTGGCACTCCAGTCGTCCAGGGTCTAGATATATCAAGGGCCCACGATGGTTCGCCAATCAGCTCGGAGAGCAAGGCGCTAAGGTGTGGGACCCATTGATACAATGCTCACATGATGGGTTTGTTGCCTTGTGAAGAAAGCTTGCACGGCTTCAGAAGGCGGGGAGGGGGGTTTGCAGAGGCCATGGCTTCAAAAAGCGGGGGGGGGGGGGAATGCAAACACATTGCTCTTATGATAGGCTTCAAAATATTCAGACGCCTTGCGAAGCTGTGAAGCAGGCTTTGCACTGCTGGAGTTGGGGAGTTTGTTTTGTTTTGGGTCCTTTTAGGGGGGTCGATTTTCTAGGTTTTCCTAGGAAATCTCCATTCCCTCTAGACTTTCATAGGCATTGGTGCATTTTCTTGGATTTTTTGCTATGATATTTTCATAGGATTCAACCCGCTTTTTGTCGCACAAGCTGCTCGCATGAGTTTCAATCCTTCGTATGATTTTGAACAGTTCATGTGCTTTGAAACAAGCTTGAACGGCTTTCAAAAGCGGGCGGCAAAGGCGGGGGATTCGGGTGGGCAATCTATGTCGTCGATAGAGGCATCCAGGGACTCCAGGAGGCTGGCTTTAAATTAACAGCAAAACATCCTGGCAGGAGATCCCCCCTTGCGCACGGGCCATTTGTACCATTTTGTATGTATACATGCAACAAGACATATGTGTGTTACGTGTGTGTTAATGTAACGTACTGGTCAAGAAGAGCACCTCCACCTTTACCGTGCGTTCAGCAGCGAGGCCTCGCGGGTGAGCCTCCTGCGAAGCTCCTCCCCCGCTGCGACCAGGCGAGATAGGGAGTCCAAAAAGGTGAATCCATACAGGACCCCCACAAAATTCCTGGAGTTTGGTAGGGTTTCAGGGAGGTCCAAATGCAGCTGGAGCTTCGCTTGCGGAGTGAAGGAGGGGATCCTTTGAGCCAAGTTTGCCGGAACTCCATGGGCGCCAAGTCTTGCAGAGACTCAAAAGGACTCCCATTTTTTGCAGGTGCGAGACGTTGATCTTGTTCGCCTGGGCGTGCGGCTAGAGGAGCTCCAGACATGGCTGAGAGAGTCTTGGGGCTGCACTTCTCCAAGCATGAAAGCCAGAGGCAGAGAGATTCAGAAGCTTCAGGAGAACCCCTTCTCTAACTGTGGGCGCTCTAGTGTTGGCAGGCGGCCTAGAATGTGCCTAGAACCTACCGTCGGTGTTGACTCCGTACAGCCATTTCCCCGTCCCTCCTCGCTGCCTCGCAAGAGTTCGCAAGAGCGCGCCAGCCCCGCAGGACCGAGGAAATGAGGGCTACGCTCGGACCTCAGAGGGCTCCCCCGGCCGTGGGGATGCCCTCATGGATGCCCTCATTGATGCCCTCCTTTCGCTGCAACCAGTCGAGACGGTCAATGCCCTTTTGAAGCCGATGGGCGTCGGCAGAGTCAAGTCTGGCGTTTTACTGCCCTCGAAGCTGTTGAGAATTATCGCCTCGTCATGGCACGGAGGTGTGGATGTTCGAGCAGAGGGAGACCTTGGAGGCCCACGGCTGACTGCCGTGTTGGGTGCAGCTCACCCGTGCCTGCACGAGCCCCAAAAAACAATCTACGTGCTCATGGTGTTACCATTTCTTCCACCCCTGACCGTCATGAGCTCAGGGCTCAACACAGCAATTGGTTTTGGGTTTTGGGTTTAGGATTTGTGGCTTGATGAGGGCCTTGGTTGCTTGCGACCATAATTTACGTAGCCAATCCTTAACCCCTTCACCCAACACAGGCTCCGAAGCCTTATAGCAAACAGCTTGGGCAGATTTGCGTGGCTGCGCGAGGCCGAACAGAAGGAGGCAGAAGAGAAGGCCAAGGACAGCAAGCAGCAATCAGAACTTCTGAGACTCCGGGACGCCATGGGTGAATAGTCTTAGAGACTTTCAAACCTGAACAGTCGCGCGGAACTGTCGGAATGAATCGGGCCGCGGGGATGGCGGCGCGAAGCTTTCTGCAACGAAAGCCCCGAAGGAAGCCGCCCAGCAGAAGATTCGCAACAAGCCGCTGCCTCACACCCTGTCGGGACTTCAATGCCGAAAGTTCCCAGAAAGCTTGTACCAAGGTGCAGAACCCGTATATAGGTCCGTTTGTGCCTTGAATATTTCATTGTTGTAGTGGCTGCCGCAAGTGTCCCGACGACCCACACACACACCTCCCTGGATGAAAGCAGATGCATGGCATGTCGTGTGCAATCCCCCCCCCCCCCCCCCCCCCAAAAAAAAAAAAACGAGATAAACCCGAAAGGCCTAAATTGAAGGTCCGAACCCTGGAGGGCCTCAGGACCGCTGAGACGAATTCCAAGATAAACGCTGAGGCTGGACCAGAAAGAGAAGGAGCTCAGAGTTGCGGAGAAAGCGGCCTCATGTCGGAGCAGTCTGGATTTACGCCTAAGGAAAGTCTAAGGCTCTACGGGCTTTGGGGTGTTTTTGGAGTGGCTTGGGTTTTAAAGCCTTTCATGTATAGATCAATGACCAGCTAGCTGCTAGCTGCCTAGCTAGATGTGAAGCTTCTTTTGGGGTGAAAGCCCAGTCAATTCGGTTTCATGTTTCTTTGCTTTTGCGAGGTTCACAAGTGGTTGCCAGATCTTTTGTGCCACCGACTTTCGGCAAAGCGTGGTTTTCTGGGCTTGCAGGTGGGGGGTTTGCTTTGAGGCGTGCAGGGCTGAGGACCTTGCATACTCCATGAAGCTTGGCACCTGTGACGACTGAGGCTGTCGCTCCAAAAGATTTGTTCCAGAATGGCAGCAACAAAGGCGCTGGATGCAGCTCTCTGTGTGAGCCCTGTGTTGTTCTGGTCTGGGTCGGTGGCAGGCGTTTACGCCGAGTTTGATGCCGAGGGGGTTCCCACCAAGCTCGCGAGCGGTGAGGACGACATTCTCTTGAGGGCATTGCGTGTTCTATGGACCCCCCACATTGTGGTATGATTGCCTTGAATACGAATGAAGTCTTGTAGTTGGCTCAGCACTCTCTGGAGCGGAGGGTGCTGGCGGGGAGGGGCGCTTCATTGCCCTTTGTTGCCTTGTTTCGGTACGGGGCTTGTGCCCAGCTCTGGTCATCGACACACCAGCCTCGTGTCTTGTAGCATGAAACGCCTTTTGATAGCCAGGGGGCTTGGAGGATCCACACCTGCTCTCTACCTCAACAACGCTAAACCCGCCTTCCCCCCCCCCCATCCCATGTCTTCATGTCTGGCCTTGAGGAGGTCAGCGCGAAGAAGAAGAAAGACTTGGCCAAGGTTGGCAGCTGCGACTTCGCGGTTGAGGGTTGGGCCTTTAGGATGTTCTTTGCAGAGCTGAAGGGGCGGCTTGCTGCAGAGATCAGGATGGCAAAGGGCAGATCCGACAATACTGGGTGGAATAGTATCGTGAGTCGGTAGCCGGTATCGTTGCAGACAAGCACTGCCTGCTGCCAGGAGCTGGCCAAGCAGCAGAAAGATTTTGAAAAGCTGCAGAAGCAAGCAGGGGAAGCAGGAATTGACCCTTGGTTGGAGACGGGGACATGGGGCGAACACTCCGTAGATCCTGAATCTACGCAGTCAACATCACATGATAGCCACAGCTAATGTTGTCTTGAATTCCGGATAATCTTGCTGTGGCAAGAACTCGACTAAGCCTCGGTGGGAAAGTTCAGGACTGGCTGACTGGTAACTGGTAGCTGCCAGCCGGGCTGTCCAAGTCTTGTTGGCTCATATCCTTAGCAGCCCTTGCATGAAGTACGGTACGCAGACACGCACACGCGCACACAAGCACACACACACAGAGACAGAGACATTCCTGGTGGGTCTGCTAGACGCGTGACACTTGGCACAAAACAACTCGCACCTTTCCCACAGCCAGACTGTTTCATGCCGACTCCTGTTGACCAAGGATGCCTTCCTTGCAAAGATGAGGTCTGAGGTTGAAGAGATGAAGAAGCAACTTCGGTAGAACAAGGGCCTCCCACCTAGGGGCCCAAACCCTACAACCCTAAAGCTCTATAGGTCTATACGACTATACGAAGCTCACCCATCCCCGATGCGATTGCAAGCACCTTGCGGGGATCTGGCGCCTCCGAAAACAGGGCCTCAGCTGTCCCTGACTTACCAGGATGCTTAAGAGCTGGGGAGACGTTTTTGTGTGCTGGGCTAGTGTCGCTTCCCTAACTCGAAAGGGCTGCTACCTTAGGCTGCCTTTCGGCAAAAACCTCTGTCAACGTGGAATCTTGCTACTAGTCGATCGAGACCTTATACCAAGATATAGTCTCATCCTTCAGGGCAGGATTTTCAGTGAGGCCATGCATTGGACAAGACTTGCAGTGACGGGGCGATATAGAGCTGCTTTTGACCCGGCGCGGACAACTCATCGAACTGTCTCCCCAGCTGCCTCCAGACATCCGATTTGTACAGCAGCGAGAGGCGCCCGCGGAAAAGGACTAGCGACATGGGTTTCGGAATGTGCCTGGACTCTAAATGTTGTACCCTTGGAAGAGCTCAATATGGCTATATGTGCAAGCCTAGAATTTTCGAGTTTTTGAGGTTCCCTTCGAAGGGTGGAGTCCGCAGGGCATCCAGTGGGGTGAGAAGTGTGGAGTGAGTGAGAAGAGTGGAGGGGCCGTTAGTCCGAGCAAGATGGAAACAGCAACAGCAAGAGGCTGGGAAGTGACATTTTGTTCGGCATGCAGTGTGGTTTGGGACGACGTCTCCATGCCTTAGATATATGCAAACGTAGTGATGTCCCGTTGCACTCTCGGAGCCCCAGACCCGAGTGTCAGACCGGCGTCAGCAAGTGGCGCGCATGTAGCAGATGCAACATCCTCATGGAGTGGTAGCAGGATGTAGCATGGGGCGGGACGTGCCCAGATTGTAAGCAGGCGCCGGGCCGCTGGCAAGAAGCGTCATAAGCGTGCTTCGTCATGACGAGGCTCGAGACTGAGGCAGGAAGTTCCCGGTTGGCTCGCATCGCTTCTTGGCTCTCCTGCATCTGTACGTTTTCGCGTTTGAGCTCGCCAATGACTCGACAGTCATCTCCTCACTACTCAAAGACGTCACCGGCGCCACACTGGGGTGGCCGTGTTCGCAGTGGTGACGTGCGAGCAAGCCAGGTGAGGTGGAATCGAAGGGCAGCTCCAGCCCGTATCCTCCATGCACTCTGGTGGCTCATGAGCTTTGTGCTTCTAGAGCCAGCGACGGCTTATGCCATTTCCTCGTCCGTCTTTCGGTTCTTCCTTGGCTTCTGCGCCGTCCTTGTTCTGTCTTCACGCTGTGAGTCTGTGCCTCCGCCGGCCGTCGGTTGATGAGGCCCCCCCCCCCCCCGGCATCAAAAGGCAAAGTTCACTGCCACCGCTGTCGGTCGCTTGGGTGGTCGGTGACCTCACGCGCGCTGAGCAAACTGGCTCGTCGATGTGGAGCCATGCAGTTTGTAGTGATGACCCACCCGGTTGTGTTCTCCAGAAAGATTGTTCTGCGGATTTGGGAGCGTTGGATGACGGCGCCCCCTTTCCATTCCCAAGATCTCCGATCAAGGCCGAACACTTTCAAGAGCTGAGATAGACGTGATGGTGCCAACAATGGCCGAAGTCAATACGGCCTTGACGAATGGATGGAGTAGCCAGAGAAGCTGCATGCTGTGCAACATGCGCAAGGGCTTGACTTACAAGACGTCTGATTGCTCTCGCATCCGGGAAGCAAGATGTTGCCTACGATGGTTTTTCTTTGAACTCGCGCAGTGAGACACGCTGTCTGTTGGGCCGAGTGCCTCGATGGACTTCCCAATCGATTTTCGCTCATGAGCACCAAAGGCCAAAGCTAAAGCGAACAGGCAGCGGCGGCATCCGCTGCCGCATCCACTGCAAAGGCCAACGACGACAGCTGTTACGCAGCGAGCCAAAGCCAAGGCCAGCTCGTAAGACACTCGAGATTTCGAACTTAGCTCTGGCCTTGACGTGTACAGTGTATCTATTCTCTTTCGGTCGCCGAGATGCTGGTTCAGGTATGTCTTGCACTGGCCCTGACGTGCACAGCTTTCCGTTCAATCGCCAATCATCGACAGAGGTCGCTTCAAAACAACGGCTTGCTGAAGCACATGCCAGAATGGCAAGTTCAGTGCAGAGGTGCTACGCTTCACAACAATATTTCACAAAAGCGATGTAGGCTCCCTCTCTAGGACCCGTGCCGGCTTCAAAACATCTCATGAAGGAGCGAGTAAACAAGCAGATCTCAAGCTGCTCCTCACTGAGGCATCGAGGAACATCTCGCCTCCGCTGCAGCCTCGGTATTTGCCGTTTTCGTTTTAGTTCTGCTGCAGATGGTTTCTTCGCCCAGCTGTGCAGTAGGCAAAAACCTGCTAGACGCCAACAGAAGCGCCCCTTTCACCCGCAATTTTTTCATCACGTGCGTGCAGGTTTGAACTCCGTGGGGCTTGGCGAGCCAGGTCCAGCCTTTCATGTTCGACTTATGATTTCTACATGAGCGTTGTGTGTGTGTGTGTGTGCGTGTGTGTCTGTCTGTCTCTCTGTCTGTCTGTCTGTCTGTCTGTCTGTCTGTCTGGCTTTGCGAGACGCGCTATGTTGGCGCATGTGCTTTCGATCTTCCCATCTTTTTTTGTCTGTAGGAAGCCCGACTCGATTGTTTCCCCTTGGCCACAGGCCGCCAGGCATGGTTGAAAAGAGAATCTTCTCCAAAGAGCTTACCCCGATTCTTTAGAGCACAGCGAGGTTCTTTCAAGCCGGGATCGAGGCTTTTCGGCTCAATGTAAAGAGCCGGGCTCGTTACCACATGAACGCAAGCCTACTGCCTTGAGTTCCCAACCTAAAAGACTCTTAAAACCCGAAACCGAACTCCTGGAATCCCAAGCTCCCAGTGAGCCCAAGACAAGGGCTGGTGGCTCAAAGTTTCGTGGACCCCAAATCCTGTATTTTGCTGCTTCTCCGACCAGCTGAGTGAGGCTGAGGGCTTCAGGATTTCAAGTTACTCCGAGGGTTTTTGGTACCTTGTTTAAGTGCCGGAGATAGCTTTTAGGATGAGTTTCAAGATTTTCGCACTTGCACCGTGCCCCCAATGGTCCGTTTGGTCACGGACTCGGCGCCATGGACCGCGCCGCCGCCCTGGAACTGGTCCGGGAAGACGGCCTCAAGCTGCGCCGCTTGCCTTCGGGGATGCAGGGCTTAGCGACCCAAAGAGGACATAAGCATAGGCATTTTATAGGGATATCCCTACCTGGCTTCATTATCAGGGGGTTTATATGGGATATCCTTATGCTAATTTTTGCTTGTGCTGTTTGTTGGGGCCCTAAGGGCTTCCGGAGAATTTGAGGGGTAGGAATGGAGATGGCGAAGCTTTGAACGTGGAGCTCAGTAGAATGTCTGCACGGGCCCTTTGAAATAGAAGTTGGGTAGAACAGGCTCTGCCATTTTAAGATTTGTGGACATGGGTAAAGCTCCTATCCTTAAAAGCAAGGGCCCCCCAGCGAAACAAAGAAGAAGAATGCGTTGTCTTGGTCCTCGACCCCAGGATCCCTCAGCAATGAGCTGCGTGCGGACAAGGCCCCAAGCAGTCTTGAGTGGCGGTGGTCGCTGTTGGCAGTGGAGTTCATGCCGGACACCGCTTCTTTGCCAGGAGCTGGTGCTTGAAGCGGTGTCGAATTCCGGCTCTGCTCTGCGCTACGACTCTCGGCACTCCTGATTTTGTGCGAGGGGCACATCATGCATACTTCTGCATCGCGAAATATCCACCAATAATGCCAACACCGATCCGTCCGAATATTCTGGCCTGCTTTTCGTGCCCTTGCGTAGCAAGCAAGACCCTCGAGGATGGCACGGCAGAGAGAGAGAGAGAGAGATCCGTCCTTCGGATTGGGTGACGCAACAGGGTCGTGCAAAAGCAAGCCAGCGCAGCTCAGGCTGCCACTCCAAATCATCTCCTGATCCCAGAGTGCTCTGTTCCGAGGCCTCTGAGGCACTTCGAGGGGACAATGAGGCCTTCGGGGTTGGGGCTGGCTTTTGCGAGGGATCCGGGGTGAACATGTCTGCTACAGGAAGAGCCGCGGAATCCTCAGACTGACACGAAGACCACAACTTTCCTGCCCCTTTTCCCCGCTCCCCCTCACCTCTTCCCCATCGGAATCCGAAAGTCTCAAGTGCTGAAGCCCAAATTTTGCCGAAAGATTCAGCCCGAAGGTGGTCACGGCAGCGGTCACGCAGCACTGGATGGCACTGCAGTGCCGTGGCTTGCAATGGGGCCGGGCATACACAAGAACGCTTCAGAGATCTTCGTTGCCCATCCAACATCGCTGCTTCTGTATCAAACAGAAATGTTGCCGACTGTTGCTTCCCGTCTGCCAGAAGTTGAGAGGATGATGTTACAGAGTGCGGTAAAGGGGCAGCTTCGTCATGCCCGAAATATATTGCAATATATTGCAGCTATTCCAGCACCGCCGCCACAGAGAAACAAGAGGGAACTGAGAGCGTGAAACGAGGGTGCGCTGGGCGGGCAGCCGGAGCGGGATTGAGGTACGCATCTGCAAATCTCAAGGATGACTTCGACATCGTCAAGTCGCTGAGACGAGAAGTCGTTTGCTGGTTCGTAAACAAGCAAGATGCTAGTGACTGTTGATGTCTCGCCCAGCTTACATGGACTACAGCGCATCACGCAAGATATGCAAGCAGCCAGGTGTGGTGATGCCCTGTCCATGGCATGTGGCATTGCTGTAAACAGAGAAATAGAGTCTCCAGATCACTTAGATTTCTTCGGGTGTCCCAAGCCAAGAGGAGCATTGCACATCTTCGTCGTTCTCAGGATAGCGGTGGCGGACAACGGCTTGGCGTTGCGAGAAGCAGGACCTGTGCTAGTGTAGACTCAGTTTGGCAAACAGTGGAAGTCAGGGTGAGTGTCATGGGTAGGAATCTCTTTCCCACCAGATTCACATGGGTTCTTTGGACTGCATAGTAAGAT